GGTCCTTACAGGACTATATTTTAGGGACCGAGCGGCTAGGCAGCAGTTCTGCAGAAAAGGACCTAGGGGTTACAGTGGATGAGAAGCTGGATATGAGTCAACAGTGTGCCCTTGTTGCCAAGAAGGCTAACAGCATTTTGGGCTGTATCAGTAGGAACATTGCCAGCAGATCAAGGGACGTGATCTTTCCCCTCTATTCGGCATTGGTGAGGCCTCATCTGGAGTACTGTGTCCAGTTTTGGGCTCCACACTACAAGAAGGATGTGGAAAAATTGGAAAGAGTCCAGTGGTGCGCAACAAAAATGATTAGGGGGTTGGAGCACATGATTTATGAGGAGAGGCTGAGGGAACTGGGATTATTTAGTTTGCAAAAGAGAAGTGTAAGCAGAGTCAGGATGAGCTCCACCCTGACATCTGGTGGTGAAGTGTGGCAAGTTGTGGAAAAGAACTTTAGGGGCTGATCTCATTTGCATAGGCACACCCACCCCGCCTAGAATGAGGCCATAGCTGCCCAAATGGTCACTTTGGCTGCTGTGGGATCCCCGGTGTCTCTGTTATTGGGGCAGGAAGAATAAATTATTACCCTGATTATGGGAATCAAGGACAGTGGAACTGTACTTGGCCTTTTGTTATGATGGAGGGACTCGCCATCAACTAAGTAGCACTCGCTAGGCAAGGGACATGGGTTCCAAAACTCTGTGAATTGAGAGAGGCTGGAGACAGGCATTAATACTTGGTGGCATGGTTAGGGCCTTACATGCTAATTGCACTTCCTCCTCTCTCCACTGTGGAATATCAGAGCTAATTTTGATTCCATTAGGAGTCCAGTTACAGGCTGCTGAGCTGAATTCACTTTGGGTTAATGGTGCATCAGCACTGAGGCTCCCCTACTACAAGCTGAAATCACAAAAGAGCTAAACTTACTAAGAGCTGAAATCACTGAGTGTTGTATTAAGTAGTGGGGGAGCCTGAAGATATATGGTGGAGCAGTTTGCGGGGCAGCTGGCAGAGCCGAGTATTGCAGTTTGCAGGATGGCAAGCAGAGTGGCTGGTGGAGCAGAGCAGTTTGTTGGATGCCTAGAGCAGCTCATGGGGCAGCTGGCAGAGCAGCGCCCCATGGAGAGGTGGGACCATCAGCTTTGGACCATGTAAGCTGCCCCTTAACCCCTGCCCCCCCTTCCCCCCACCTCCACCCAGGTTGGGAGGTAAAACCCTGCAGATAAACTTTCGAACTCTGGGGCTGCCCTGACCAGGGACAGAGACTTTTAGGTCGTGAGACTTTTGGGACTTTGGGTTGCTGGACTCTAGAACCAAAGGGAAAGGACATGCCCCAATTGCTCATGGGTTGTGTTATGAATCCTGTTGGTGGTGTTTCCCCAACATAATGCCACATTGTTTCTCTCTGTTATTAAAAGGCTTTTTGCTACACTCAGACTATGTGCTTGCGAGAGGGGAAGTATTGCCTCTTGGAGGCGCCCAGCGGGAGTGGTATATATTTGTCCCAGGTCACTGGGTGGGGGCTCAAGCCGGTTTTGCATTGTGTTATTGGAATGGAACCCCTAGATACTGAACCCAGCCCTTGTTGCTGCCAACTCTGACAGGCAGAAGGGTTACAGAAGAATGAGGGGGGGATTTGATAGCTGCTTTCAACTACCTGAAAGGGGGGTTCCAAAGAGGATGTATCTAGACTGTTCTCAATGGTACCAGATGACAGAAGAAGGAGTAATGGTCTCAAGTTGCAGTGGGGGAGGTTTAGGTTGGGGTTACCTAGGAAGGTAGTGGAATCTCCTTCCTTAGGAGTTTTTAAGGACAAAGCCCTGGCTGGGATTATTTAGTTGGGGATTGGTCCTGCTTTGAGCAGGGGGTTGGACTAGATGACCTCCTGAGGTCTCTTCAAACCCTCATATTCTATGAAAGCTAGGAACTACTTTAAAAAAACCCTGTAACCCTGAGATTCTCCTGCAATCACAAGACTCCAAGAGCCGAGGCTTTAAGAAAGGCCTCAGATATCACAAGGCTCACAATAAAATTGCAAGAACTGGTAATGCTGTATCTGATTGCATTTTGGGGGCTGGGTGGGTGGATAAGGGCCATACCATCACTTGCTTCCCTCCCGCAAATCTGCACCCTTCTCTTGCCCCTGCGTGTGTGGAATGTGTGCTAAGAACACAGCAAACCACAAATGCTGTTCTCTTCCCAGTAAACCAGCTGCTTTATTGTTTCTGAGACACAATGGGTGTGTGTGTTTGGCTTTCCTTATAACTAAACCATTTTGTTTTTAATATACACAGAGAGATTTAAAGTAAACACTGCTTGATTTCCGTCCCCCCTGCCATTCATTTCTGTGATATCAGCATCTACCTTTCTACTCTATCCCTTGAAAATGAACAAAGCACAGGTCCATAGATCCTACATATGGATAAAAGGGGTCTCCTGCATCATCTTTAATCTGCAGAGCTCCTCAAAGCAAGTTAGACAGACATTTTATAGAGAGCAAAATAAGGAAATGAGAAATCTAATCTGTAGCTGAGGATCAAACCGATGTGGTTTACTGAAAAGTACATTACATTTGTTATGAATAAAGCTTTAATTTACTCAGTGAAGTAGGGAGTCCATTCAGCAGTTATTCATCAGCATTCATTCATTTAGAGAGGTGGAATTCACTTGCACCTTAATCACACACATATGCTTACAGTATCAACCAACATTATACCACAGAAACAAATATATCTGAAATGCCAATCTAAAGAAAGGTGCAGGTACACAAACAAAAGGGCTCTGCTGGACAGACAGCACACCTGCAATAAACTCAGTAGAAAGTAATTAAAAAATTAACTCCATTATGGCCACTGTCTACATCAGATACCTTTGGACTGGTTTATTTAAAGACCTGATCTGAAGAGAAAACACAATTCTTGCTAAATATCAGCATATTTTAGGCCAGATTCTCAGGTGGTAGAGCTACACAGGTTTACATCAGCTTAAGATTTGGTCCCACTTATCTAAAACTTGTAAAAGTGAGCTACAAAGTAAAAAAATAAAACGTGAGCTGTTCCTAGATTTATGAACAGGATTCTTTTACTAATCAGGATGGTGGAGGGGTAGGGTTGGGAAAGCACAGGAATTAGTTTTAACATTATTTTCTTGCTTCCCTAGAGAATTTTCCTGGTGCTTTTGGCTCAATGCCAATAACCCACAATGGGACATCACAAAAAAATGAAGTCTCACTGCAGCCCACAAACCCCATGGTATTTGTGATGTATAGAATGATGCATTCAAGGATACATTCAATGAAGCAGCATAGTTCCATTTCATGGATGGGAAAATAATTACCAAAAAGGCTGATTAAACATAATTTCAGTTAAAAAAATTAACGTCTGCAAATACTTATTGGGTATAGAGTTTACTAATTGACATGGTCTTATTGGCTTTGGTGGGACTATGCCTGATTATTAAGCACTATAGCCAGCAGTAATTATTTGCAGGACCAGATCCTTGGTTAGCATAAAAATCCAATTATTATCAGGATCAGAAATACAGTGCCACCTAAAGACCCCAACCAAGACTGAAGCCCAATTATCATAAGGACCATGTAGACACACAGTGATAGACAGTCCTCGCTGCCAAAGGACTTGCAATCTAAATAGACAAAAGAACTATCATAGCTATTTTACACTACCACCATTTTACAGATAGGGAAACTGAGGCACAGAGCAATTAAGTTACTTCTCCAAAGTCCCACACGAACGGTGTGGCACAGGCAGGAATTGAACTCTGATTTCCTAAGCCCCAGTTCAATGCTTTAACCCCAAGATGATAATTTAGGGTAGAACTTAACTCTCATTTTTACCTATAAACTAACTGTTGACATTTCTGCAGTTGCTTAAGTCTCTTCCTCTTTTCTGAGAAAACTTTGGGACAGTACAGTACCATTTGATTTTGTCCCCTTTACCAACTAGCATAGCTGAATTTTCCCACTTCTTCACTCCCCTCTCCTACTGGCTGTATTTCCTTGACAAGTTCTCCCTCATTACAGGGTTTGTAATGCACTAGTCAGTCATGCTCATTTCCACAGAGTAGATAGGGTTCCTCTCTCAGTATTCAAGGCCCCTATAAAAATACTGGGTCAGATCATCCACTGGCGTAAGCTGGCAGAGCTCTGCTGAAGTAAATGGAGCTCCGCCAATTTATACAAGCTAAGGGTGTGGCCCCTCGAGTTTAGAGCAAGAGCTACACTTTTGCTGTAGGACAATCTGTCAGGTCAACACTATGGCCTAAAACTCAATGACAAAAGTCGTCAAGTGGAAGAATATTTTCTAGAGACACTCCATTCTCGACAACTATCGGAAAGTGTGGAAGCAATGCTTATTTATAATTATTTTCTAGGTTCCAGACAAATGATCTAGCCAGTGCCCTCCACAGCCAAGAATCACATTTCACAAGTATTACCCAAAATGGCTTTAATGGTACTCCTCTGCCTGAAGCACTCTGAATGTGCTGCACCAGAAAAGGTGATGAAGTGCATAATTAGATACTAGCTAGGAAGCAGGTGGGACTTTCTTCCGCTCACTTCCTGGAGCTTTTGCAGGCCTTGGCAAAGTCCTGCCTGCTATTGGCTGTGTGTCTCAGGGCTAGCCGACACTAGAAGCGCTATATCAGCGCAGCTGCACCAGTGACGCTCTGTGCCGACGGGAGAGCGCTCTCCCGTCAGCATCATTACTCCACGTCCACTAGAGGTGGATGCTATGTTGGCAGGAAAGCATCTCCTGCCAACATAGCATCAGTGTGGACAGCGCTTAGGTCGCTGTAACTGGCGTTGCTCAGAGGGGGTGTCTTTTTCCATACCCCTGAGTAACATACGTTATATCAACATAAGTGATAGCGTAGACCTGCCCGTATGCGCTAATTGAATCTAGCTAAAAACTGGAGGTTCTCCTGAGAGCACTTGGCTGCTACATGACAGATACAGCAGGTCTGATTATATTGTCACGTCCACTTACCATTTGAAGGACACCAAAATATGACATCAGATATCCAGTCTGTGCTGCCTCTAGCCCAAAGAAATTCATAGAGATGATGGAAAACATAATCAGGAACAAACCTACAGAGTGTATTAAAAAGAAAATATCTTTAAGGGGTTTCGGAATATATTTATAGGGCAAGTAAAGGGCCAGACCCTGCTTAGTTACCATTGATGTAAAGACAGTGGAGTTGCTCTGCATTAACGCTGAATGCAGACAAGCAGACAAATATACTTGGGGTTTTTAAAAAAAATCTTTAACCAGTTCAACTATTACCTTTAAAAATATAACACTGAGGAAGTTAGATACAACCATGCTGATTAGTGGAAGCAGTTCGCATGGTTTTATTAGGCCAGACATGCTAACCTTTAGGATAGCACAAGAAAAACATTTTTTGTTCAGGCAAGATTGTAACCAGGGGATAATTCCTTATTCCTTTTGCCGAACTTCAGATTTTCACCATTGGATTTGGCGTCCCAGAAACAGTCTAGGGCAGGAGATTAAATACAGTGGTTTCACTGTGCACAGGGCGAATGACTTAATTGGCAGGGGAGTTTGTCTCTCATGCATCTCTAATGTTGTCAGCACAGAGAGGCAGTCAAAGAAGCATGGATGGCCTCAGGCCACAGTGGGCCTGCTTTTCATTTACTGTATTTTACACACCGCTGACCAACAACTCACTAACCCAGCTACAGCAGAAGGGTTTTGCCCACATTTCCTGTGACGCTGAGAAGGATTATAATTATCTGTCTATAATGCTGTATAGTCACAGGGGTTCATTTTGTCCACCTGTTACAAGCATACAACTGGATTATTTTCACTTGTAGCTTTAGAGGCATTTAGACAGGGAAATATATTTTTCAATGGAAGTCCACAAAAAGGAGACGTTAACTAAAGGCTATTTTGTACAGAGCATACTGTCACACATATTGGACCTCAGTAGGTGTAAATCAGTGGAACTACACCAATTCACTACAAATAAACATCTGGCCTATTGACCACATCAGTTCATAACTTTTCCAGTGCTCTGTCTTGGCTGACCAACAGAACTAAGATGGCTGCTGAAGTTCCATCCACTGTCCACCTTGCACTGCTTGCGATGTAAAGCTAGACAGTATATTTAACAGCTATTGGCTAGCATTATGGGTGGGGAGAGAGGTGTGTTCACTATGGCCAGAATTTTCAGCGGAGCTGAGCACTACAGTCAGGGCCAGACTTCCAGAAGACATTTTTTAAAACTTAAAAAACTGACCTTTATTTAGGTGCCTACATGGGAGCTGAACTGCTTTGAAAATCTGGATGTAATGACCTAGAGCTAAATTTTCAAAGGTATTTAGGTGCCTAAACATGCAGATAGGCAAACAGTGGGATTTTCAATAAGTGCTGTAGTCCCTTTGATTTCAATGGGAGTTAGGTGCTCAGGTGCTTTGCAAAATCCTACTGGAGCCTATCTGCATGCTTAGGCACCAAAATATCTTTGAAAATCTGGACCCTAAGACACTTTTGAACATTTTACCCTTGATCTGTTTTGCTTTCTCTCTCTTTTACATACTCCATTTTAATGGGGCATTCCCTCCCTCTTCCCCCCCCCTCCTCCCCCCGCTTAAGTTGAGAATGAAGCACTGTCATGTAGTAAAATACCCCATCTTGTTCTTAGACTGGCAGATAGTCCCACTATTAGAGGTACCCAAACTATATCAGCCTATCTGTCCATCACCACCCTGCCTTAAATTTACCTTACTTGGGAAGGTACTTATGATCCCACACAAGTTAATTTTAGTGAGTAACCACTGCCAACTTGCCTCTATATACATTAGAAACTTGTTTACAATGTAAATAGAAGCAGGTCTGTAATTTAGTTGAATTAACTAATATAATTATATGGTTGCAGAAGTGAGATGAAGGTAAATGAGAGTTTAGCCTCAAGCAGTGAGGTGTGAATAAGTGGACAACAGCCAAATCGCCTCAGGCTGTAATCACCTGGTCAGTAACTTGATGCGAGACCTGAAAAGTGAAGTCATGTGTTGCTAGAGATTTAATAGGTAGAGCTCTTCTGTGTCAGCCAGCTACTTTCCCAGTGTGGCACTGTGCTTCTGGAGGGACAGTTTTTCCGATGAAACATAAGATGGGACCCTGGCCACTCAGGATTGTTAAAAGTTTACATGATATTTTTTTTAAGTGTTAGAATATTAGCCACTGTGTCCTGTCCAAATCCTATCTTAATTCATTATATTTTGCCTTCCTAACATTTCCCCTTTAGTTTTTGAATAGCATTGTTATTCTTTGTTTTCCCCTGTAAATATGGTACATTGCTGCTTGTTCCACCCTATGGGATGATGCATTTTGGCAGTGGGTGACTAATACCGAGATATAAAGTGCATCTGGGGATTCTTTTGGAAGAAAGCTGCTAAATGTGGTACATATGAGCCATTATGTTGCAGATTGTACAGAATTATAGCCTCAGGGTCACACAGTGACATTTTAAAAGTTAAAAATAATACCATGAGCCAACACCTTGAAATTAGGAATCCCCTTAAAAATATCACTTTACAGTCCTGCCTGTTTTGTAAAACAGATTAATTCTATGAATTTTCCATTAGGTGAGTGTAGTTAAAGGCAAGTAATATTTTTGGAAGAGTTAAGGGAATTGCATTTTTCCTTTGGCGTTACTTGCATACCGTTCTTTTCTCCAGTGGGTTTTCTTTGGACAGGGGTGTTAAGTTGCACAGAACTCAGCATCTCCAGTCAATGCCAAGTGCGTGCAAAAAGAGAAATGCAGAAACCCCTTACTTAGAAATCCTTCACAGATTCCTGTAGAAGACAGTGAGTCTTGTTTCTTACATTACCAGGACACTTTCCAGGGAATAGTAAAAACATTTTATCAAGCCCAGACAGGCTGAAATGCCATCTCTGTCTTTCAGCCACTCCTAGTAATTCTGCTTTTATATGCAAGTTAAGTTTAATGTTACTTAGACATCAAGAATCATTTTTAAAAGGGCCGCCTCCTTTTTTGAGAGTTTGCAAAAGTTGTGCACACATCCACCTAACACAGTTCCTGTGTTCATAAACTGGCACTTTCCCAAAGTCTTTCGGCACACAAAAGTGAAGCCTTGAAATTGCGTGGTCCAGAGGGATGGTACTAATCATTTGCACACTTAGCAAAAAGAACCCTCAAGAGTCTCCAAGTGAAAAAGGCACACCAGATTATTCAATTCATCACTTCCTGAGTTCCGGGTCTGTCCCCTTCAAAAGATTGTGACCACTGCTTTAGATTCTGACCCTCTCCTTACATCTCAAGTAGTAGGGTGAGCAGATTCTTTGTACTTGCACAGCAGCTTCCTGACACAACATATGGGAGGAGAAAGGGTTGTACCATTCAGTGAGGAGGGGGAATATACATTAATAAACAGCACAGTCAACAGTAGGGGAAGTCATAAGAGCTGTCAGTTCCCCTATACGTATGTATAAATGAATGCAGCCAGTCATGAATGAATTCTGCTGGTCCAGCAATCTCTCTTCTCATTGTTGAAAATGTATCTTTATTTTCTTATTATTTTATTTGTATTGCAGCAATGTCTAGAGGCCACAGCTGAGATCAGAGTCCCATTGTGCTAGGTGCTGCACAAACAGTCTAGCCCAGTCTCTGAGCTGAAGAACTTACAGACTAAATTGACAAGACAAACAAAGGATGGGAGAGAGAAAGTTTCCTTATCCTCATTTTACAGATGGGGAAGTGAGGTAGAGATAATACATGATTTGCCCAAGGTCACACAGAAAACCCGTGGCAGGAAATTTGTTATAAATTCAACTTCAGATTTGGACCCTATATAACTGTGAGTGGCCTGTGTTGGAATATGCAATGCTGAATAAGGAATAGCTCCAGCAGAAAAAAAATAGTCCTGCTTCCTTTCTCCTTCATCAATGACCAAATATAAAGGGCTTTCAGATACACATGAAAAGCAAATCTACTGGCTTTATACTTGTCATTTTAAATACTGCGATGATCACAGAGAATTACCTGTAGGGAGTCCGGAAAGGACCTTGATTAAGAACACTTCCTTTACTCCCGGAAGCTTCAGCAGGCGTAGGATTTCCTTGAGACTAAACACACTGCTGGAATGCGATGTGCCTATGAAAATGACAGACAGAATAACAGTCTATTTACAAGGACAAGAAGCAGGAAACAAGAAACGATACATTATCTTATTACACTCACAACCAACTCTCTACAGGGAAAATTTCTTCCTTCTTCTCTGCATCATGGTTCTCCATTGCCTGTTTGGGTTTGGTTCTATGTGCATGGAACCCCACTAGCACCAGGGCAACGCTGGTGTGCAGAGCAAAAGCAGAATATCCAATAGACATCTGCAGTGTGGGTCAGTGACAGGCAGAGCTGATTGGAGAGGACAATGCTGCATATGATTCAAAAACTTATAGCCCTTTCCCTTTTAGCATTCCCTCCAGCCCTTATAATTGGTCACATGGTGGGACATTCTCATGACATTTCCACCTTCTCACCTGTCCCAAATCTTTTTTTATTTTAGCTTCACACAGATTTTCCAAATTGTATCACAACTGGTACAACTTGGAAAATGTGTGTGAAGACTGCACATAGAACCAAAGTCTGAAAGACGGTGCACCATAAAATACCACACAGAAATAAATGACAAGGTCTGACACCTTTAAAGAAAAGATAACCCAAGCCAGATCTTCAGCTCGTATAAAATCAGCCTTAAGCCATCAAAGTCACTGATTTATAGCAACTGAAACTCCACCCTTGACACTACTGACCAAGATGCTGTCCACTCTATAATCCACCATGCACAGAACTCCCATTCCAGCCAAGGGGAGTTGCGAGTGTGGAGGTCTTGCACATTGGGCCTTTTATGCACAATAATCCCCTTGCTAGAGTCACCTATGTACAGTGGGGAATCGGTGCTCAGGATGGGGCTTCAGGCTGCGCTGTAAATATTCTTGGTTTTGTGGCCTTCGTGTTATCTGAAGAGTTTACTGGAATGTAATCCATATGGTTGAAATTATTGTTTTTGCATTAGTGGGTTTTAAAAAAAATCCTCTGAAGAGAGTTCTGAAGTAGAGAAAACTAAGTTTAACGGGGTAGTAGAGGCTGGGTGTATGTCAGTGGAGAATTGAGCACTTCTGTAAACAAACTGGGTTGCAACTGTTAGAGCTATGGCAATTTCCTGCAATATCCTGGACAAACCTTACTGGATTAAGTGAAACCTTATTGAATTACGTTTAAGTATCTTAGAAGTTCATTGCAGTCACGAGTGCAAATGTTTATGTATAATTGTGGGATTGTATGCCATATCTCTAGGGGGGAAACATGAATACTGTAAACCCTAAGAAGTGTTATGAGCTTCAAAGGACTCTTTAAAACAGGGGTAGGCAAAATTTTTGGCCTGAGGGCCTCATCTGGGTATGAAAATTGTATGGCAGGCCATGAATGTTCATGAAATTAGGGTTGGGGTGCAGGAGGGGGTGAGGGCTCTGGTTGTGGAAGTGGGCTCTGGGGTTGGGCCAGAAATGAGGCGTTCAGGGTGGGGGAGGGGGTTGGAGTGTGGGAGGGGGGCTGAGGGGTCCAGCTGGTGGTGAGGGCTCTGGGGTGAGACTGGGGATGAGGTGTTTGGGGTGTAGGAGGGTGCTCCAGGCTAGGACTGAGGGGTTTGGAGTCTGGGAGAGGGCTCCGGGCTGGGACAGGAGATTGGGGCATGGGTGTGGGGGGCGGTGTGAGGGCTCCGGCTGGGGGTGCAGGCTCTGGGGTGCAGGAGGGTGCTCCGGGCTGGGACTGAGGGGCTTGGAGGGTGGGAGGGGGATCAAGACTGGGGCAGAGTTTGGGGCGTGGGAGGGGCTCAGGGGTGCAGGCTCTGGGAGGCGCTTACCTCAAGCAACTCCTGCAAGCAGTAGCATGTCCCCCCTCCAGCTCCTACGCGGAGGGGGACATGCCATTGAACTGTTTGAGCAGCCAAGTTGCACAGCAGATGATAATGGCACAAGCTTAGGCCTCTGGAAATCTGCGTTCAAGCAGTGAATGGGTTCCAAGTGAACACCAGTTCGATGGTTTCATCATCATCGTCAAGAAAACCCTTCTCATTTGATACATGCTTGGCACCATGGCCACGTCTTCTCAGATGAGGGTGAGGGATCAGCACTTAGCATTTAAAACTGTCGAGCTACATTCCTATAGCGCTGAAAAGTTGCCAGAAAAGATAAACACTCACGCTGCTGTGTAGCTTGTTCCTTCAACTTTGGTTTGGTGTGAGCAGGGATACAGGTCATTACTATCACTGCACTTATGAGACTTGCCACTACCGCAAGATATGACGGAAAGTATGTGCTGTGAACAGAAAGAGTAATTAAGATATACATACTATGGACTGAATTACACAGGACTAACGCTGTGATCCTACAAGCACTTAGGCATGTGCCTAACTTTACTCATACGAATAATAGTAATCGTCCTAATGAAGTCATGGTGAGTAAGGCTATGCATGTGCTTAAGTGTTTTCGGGATTGAGGCCTTATTTGAATGCTCATGATCTGACCATGTAATTCCTTCAAAGATGGATTTTAGTGTAAACCATGTTACAGTAGAGTATTAATAACTGGCATTAACACAGTGCTTTTTTAATTTGTAAAGCTCAGAAAAAATTGCTTTCTTGGCAAAGCTGCTTAGAGATCCTCAAATGAAACAACGGAATTGTTAATTATGATCAATCCAATCCCACAGTGGGCCAAATTCTGTCACCTTTATTAACATCGAGTAGCGCCTTATTCTGCAAGAAGCCCACCTGATTTCAGTGGGAATCCTCCAGGAGGAAGATCCTACTGAACAAGAGTAATGGTGGCAGAATCTAGTCCAACGAGTACACCGAAGCTAGGACACTAGATATGCAAAACCACAAGATAGGATCCATGTAAGATGACAAACATCATTTTAAAGAAACCAACCGTCTATTTATCTTAGGGTAACCACTTTGTCACTCACTGTCCAGAAACAGGTATAGACTACCACCTTTGATTGGTACCCTATGTCATCTCTTAAGATGCCCACAACTAAAAGGCTCCCAGTGAGTGAAATAAAGCAAAACTATTTTCCACTCAACCACCAATGGCCCAAGTTATTGTTATTTTGGATCTGCCCGTATATTGCTGGGATGTGGGATGTTGTTAACAGATCAGGGACTGCTCCCCAGCGGTTCTCACAACAAATTTTTTGGTGGCCTCAGAATGTGGCTACCAACTCTTGCTGGAGGCCACTCTGACATTTTCCCCTAAAATACTTAATTAACTTTTGGCAAAACAAATAAATATACACATGTACATATGTATCATTGGAATTGCATGTACGGATTTTTGCAGACTCAAAAATAATGTACAGTTGTCTCTATTCTTTACTGGACATAAACAGAATAGAAACACAAATCAGGTGCTTTGCATGTTCTTGACTTTTTTCTTGTTTCTTTTGCTTTTTTGGTGCTTTTTTTTTTTTAGCTACTAAGTTTGTACATTAATATCACTTTTCACAGCAGAGTTATTCACTCCCGGCAAGCCTGGGGACAAATTAAGTCCTAAATGGAGAGGTCAGTATGCAGGCAGTGGGGGACAGGGGCGATGGGGCACTGGGGCAGGCAGTGGGGGCCAAGGGTGATGGTGGGAGGTGGTGAGCTCAGGGCCAGAGCCCACCACCACTCAGCTGGGGAACAGAGCCTGAAGCCCCGTGGCTGGAGCTTGCCAGTGGCTGCATGCTCCTCCAGCTTTTGTATCTCCATGGGGGGACAACCACTACTGGCGGCTCCAGGGGAGGGGCCGTTGCTTTGCCTCCCACCCCCAATCATCGGCCAGGAGACTGTGGCCACAAGAAAAGGCCCTAGTGGCCACACCCAGCTGCCATGGCCGCATTTGAGAAACGCTTGAGACAGCTTTCTGTGGCTGGGGAAGGACAGTGTTGATTATTATCATTTTGAAGTCAACAATACTTGCTTAAGCACCACTTAAGCTCTCAGAAGAGAAGGTGAAGAGGTGACTTGAGATTGATCTTTAAGTAACTGTGACGGGTTGGGTCACAGAAACCCCCTTGGGACTGCCACCTGATGTGCTGAGATTACCTCTGAGCCTGTTTTCCCTGGCAGCTTGGGACTTCAGTACCCTGCCTTGTTGAGCCAGACACGCTAGCCTGCTGCAAACATAGACCCAGGTCTGAATCACGTCCCCCAAAAGCTGTAGACTTAACAGAAAGCGGCTTAGAAAGTGCTCCTGTCTCTAGCACCCAGATACCCAGTTCCCAATGGGGTCCAAATCCTAAATAAATCTGTTTTACTCTGTATAAAGCTTATACAGGGTAAATGCATAAATTGTCTACCCTCTATAACACTGATAGAGAGATATGCACAGCTGTTTGTTCCCCCAGGTATTAATTACTTGCTCTTAATTACTTAATAAGCAAAAAGTGATTTTATTAAGTATAAAAAGTAGGATTTAAGTGGTTCCAAATAATAACAGACAGAACAAAGTAAATTACCAAGCAAAATAAAATAAAACATGCAAGTATAAGCCAAATACAGTAGGAAACTAAATGCAGATAAATCTCACCCTCAGAGAGATTCCAATAAGCTTCTTTCACAGACTAGACTCCTTCCTAGTCTGGGCCCAATCCTTTCCCCTGGTACAGTCCTTGTTTCAGCTCAGGTGGTAGCTAGGGGATTTCTCATGACTGCAGCCTCCTTTGTTTTGTTTCACCCCCTTATATACCTTTGGCACAAGGCGGGAATCTTTTGTCTCTTTGTGTCCCTACCCCTCCTAAATGGAAAAGCACCAGGTTTAAGAGGGATTCCAGTATCAGGTGACATGGTCATATGTCCTGCGAGACCGCAAGACTTCATTATTCATGGTCTGACTCACAGGAAGGCTTGCAAGTAAACAGAGCCATCTACAGTCAATTGTCCTAGTTGATGGGAGCCATCAAGATTCTAAACCACTATTAATAGCCCATACTTTGCATAACTACAATGGGACCTCAGAGTTATATTTTATATTCCTAGTTTCAGATACAAGAATGATACATTCATACAAATAGGATGAACACACTAAGTAGATTATAAGCTTTGTAATGATTCCTTACAAGAAGCCTTTTGCACGAAGCATATTCCAGTTACATTATATTCATAAAAAGAAAAGGAGTACTTGTGGCACCTTAGAGACTAACAAATTTATTTGAGCATAAGCTTTCACTGAGCTGTAGCTTATGCTCAAATAAATTCACGAAAGCTTATGCTCAAATAAATTTGTTAGTCTCTAAGGTGCCACAAGTACTCCTTTTCTTTTTGCGAATACAGACTAACACGGCTGTTACTCTGAAACCTGTCATTATATTCACACACATTAGCATATTTTCATAGAATCATATGGAGTATAATGTCACAGTAACTTCATAGGGAGAAGATTTCTGATACTAGAGAGCTCCTTAATCTATCAGACAAAGGCATAATAAGTGACTGGAATTTGAATCTAGATAAATTCAGGTTAGAAAGAAGGTGCTAAATTTTTAACAGTAAGAGTAATTAACCCCTGCAACAATTTACCAAGGGATATGGTGGATTCTCCATGATTTGAAGTCTAAGTCAAAACTGGATGTCTAAAACATATGCTCTAACCCAACCACAAGATGTAGGCTTGATGCAAGACTTTCACCCAGTAATTCCATGGCCTGTGTCATACAGGTGGTCAGTGTCACTAGATGATCACCATGATCCCTTCTGGCTTTGGAAACTAGGAAAACAGAGCTTAACTGATGCAATGGCATTGCGCTGGCCCTCTGAACAGGAGTGACTGTTACCCTAGATCACTTTTCAGGTTCTGTAATAGTCTACATAGACTTACACATGAACTGTACGAAGCAAGACTCATCCATAGTAACTGGAATATTCTGCCAAAGAATACACAAGAGCCAAAACAACATGAAGTAGCTGTAATTTGCAAAGCATGCCTTTTTATGATGGTGTAGATAGCCACATTAATGCCCAGTTATTGCTGATGTCATGAGATATCAGCAATAACCATGAGCTCCCTCACAGAATAACGAGCTGTACTAATTGTATAAGTCTCAGGTCTTTTCCTAGACAGACAAAAGTGTGGCCTGAATAATTCTGAGAACTTCCATTGTTATTATTAAAATTAAAAAATGGGACAGCTCAGTGTATTCATCTGAATCCTTGAAACATCAAAGAACAAATTCTACATAGGCATTACTGTAGGTAGCAACTGCACAAATAAAACAAATCTTTTAGTTCTGTATTTATTAGTTATATCAACCTCAAATAATATCTTCATGTAAACAGACATACTGCAGAGAGTTACACTGACTTTATTATGTCAACCAGTTCTCCCGGACCACAAAATCAAACATTTGCTGTGTTAAGATTTTAGCAAGAGATTTTATAAGATCTTGTTTGCCAGTGTTCCATTTTCAAGTTCCAAACAAGATTCAAGACAGGTACCAGTCAGTAAAAATGGAGGATTTCCCTCTGAAAATCAAGTAAACAAAGTACTAAACCAACTCAAGCACCAAATCTACCCACCAATTCTTTGCCATGATGATGGGGTACCCCCCCCCAAACAAAAGCAAACCCCTAGAGATTTTACACACCAGCATCCCCCCACCCCTCAAAAAGTGACTTGCCTTAAGCAAACGAGTAAGTGGAATTGTACAAGGCTAAACTCAATGATTTCAGAGTTCTGTAGCAAAAACTGAAAACTCATTCAGGAAAATATAAAGCTCAGGAGTAAGATTATCCAAAAATACCTAAGTCACTTAGAAGCCTCTGAAAATATCACCCTCAAACCATAACTTCTTTCTGGCACTTTATTTTTTAATTTTCCAAGTATCTTTGCCCCTTTTTGAAAAAAATGGTGAAGATACACCATTCTTGTTGATAGCTACATTATTTTTTCTCATGTGGAGGGGATGGATTCCATAACTGTAGCTAACATATTTCTTGAGCGCATTATAATGCATCTCACATTATTTTTCTTATATAAAGTAAGATTTTTTTTTCAAAAGAGGAAGTGAGTTCAGTGCCCATGAAGACTGGCGGATCGACAGATCAAGAGATTGAACTCTTTATGTAGTTATATTGATTTTAATTAATAAATCAACAGATTTCTAAATTTTCAGAAAATTAATTTGATAAGCACTGTAATTTTGGGGAGGAATGGCTGCATTCTTCATACATAACATAACATGAACTCAACTTTGACTGCGGAGCCATGACTGGCACCTCCAACATAAGATATACCAAAAGACATTAGCTTTGAAAGCTTCCCCTACCCACACCATTA